GTACATGAAACAGCAAAACCATGTGCACTGCACTGGGCGAGCCAACCAATTAGCGTTCGTGTACGAAAATATGCCTACCCAGCTTCGTGTAGAAAATTATAGACCAGACAAGTTTTTCCATGGTTTGCACCATCGGTAGTTGTTCATCTCACTCAGTTCACTTGGTTTTAGATTATAACAACCCGGTATTAGACTCAATCAACGTTGCTGTTTAATGAAAATACGTTGCATTATGGTTTGTTTATTGTTATAGTAATATTGTTATTTTTACTTATGGTTGCTCTGAAAAGGGCCGTTTGTTTTGAATATTTTCGGGGTTTTTGATGACGTCATCGTCGATATGAGGCGTACATAAAACCGAGGGTTTGTATAACTGGGGTACGTAAAAACGAGTTTCTACTGTAATTAACTTTGCCCATGAGCAAAAGCGAAAGGCACATCGAATGATTGAACCTATGAATTTAAGGTCAAGAACCAGAAGCACAACTGCTGTTTCAAATTTTCAAATCGTTGCTATTGGGAGCATAAAAATTCCCAATAACATGAAAAGCCTTCTTATCTTTTTTTTAAGATAACGCTCCAAGCTATTTCAACCTTTTCGGCTTTGGTGCCCCTAGTGGACTGCTCCGAAGCGCCTATGCATTGGAAGGATTTGACAGAACAAGAGCGAGAACTCTGTTCAGCAACGGCAACTTTTGAAGCCTTCATCACATTGTTCATGGAGAGGTATTATTGTTGTTGCTGTTATTGCTGCTGTTACTGCTGTTGTTGCTGCTGTTGTTTGCTGCTGCTGCTGTTACTGCTGTTGTTGATCTTGTTGTTGTTGTTGTTTGTTGTTGTTACTGCTGTTGTTGCTGCTGCTGTTACTGCTGTTGTTGTTGCTGCTGTTGTTTGCTGCTGCTGTTGTTACTGCTGTTGTTGATCTTGATGTTGTTTGTTGTTGCTGTTTGTTGTTGCTGTTTGTTGTTGCTGTTGTTGTTCCTGTTGTTGTTGCTGTTGTTGTTACTACTGTTATTGTTGTTGTTGCTGTTGTTTTTGCTGTTGGATGTTGTTGTTGTTGCTGTTGCTGTTGTTGCCGTTGTTGTTGCTGTTGTTGTTGTTGCTGCTGTTGTTGTTTTTGCTGTTAGATATTGTTACTGTTGTTGTTGTTGTTACTGTTGTTATTGTTGTTGCTACTGTTGCTGCTGTTGTTGTTGCTGTTGGATGTTGTTACTGTTGTTATTACTGTTGTTGTTGTTGTTACTGTTGTTGTTACTGTTGTTGCTGTGGCTGCTGATGTTGTTCATATTGTTAGTTTTATTGTATTATTACTACTTCTGTGTATGTCACTTTTTGTTGATGTTGTTATTACTAGTATTTTATTGTTATTACTATTATATTTTTTATTATGCCCTATTATTTTGTCAGGTGCTTCACTCTTATTGAGAACAGCACATTTGAACACACCACGTCGCAAGATTCTACGCAAGCCAAGGTGAACCGGCAAGAGAGCCTGGCTGAGGTCGGAGTAGCGTCTACATTTAGTACCATGCTCAATCAATGCTCACCAGAAATCTACCAGGTAATCTATTTCTGCCTTCCTGTAAACTTTACGCCGGAGGAGCATTACAAGTAAAATTTAATTATTGAATATTGAGGTTCCTGCATAGTAATGGTGATAAATGAGAATGTACTTTTTTCTCAAGTTTTTTCTCTCCCTGACTTTGGACAATGAACTTTATCAAGTTGTTTCTCTCTCTAACAATGTACTATAACCTCAACTTGGTTTTTCCCTAATATTAGACAGTTTACTTCATTCTCAAGTTTCATTCTTTAAAATTAGACAGTATCAACGTTGTTTTTATCACTGACGTTGGAAAATACATACTTTCTGTTAATAATGTGTTTATATGATTTTTATACAATTGTAGGTTGCCTTAAACAAGCTGTTCAATTATGCATCCTCTAGAGTTCTTGAAACTAAAGTTGCAGGAAAGATGCTTGCTAGTATGTGCCGCTCAGCAGCCAAGGTAGGTAGTCATCCCCCCTAGTGAATTTTGAATCATTGAAACACTGAAACTACCTAGTAGGCCTAATCTTCTCTCTCACTGAGGCCTTGAGATATGTAACTATAAGCTAGACCAAGGTTTGTGGCCTGGTCCATGCCTTTATCTCGCCAGCATTGCTGCAATCAGGCTAGTATAGAAATAATTTCTTAGAACTCTGATTGGTTTTTTATTACCTATTACAAGAAAATAGTGGGGATCAAGTTGTTATATATATATTTTTTATATATTACTCTATCATAGGTGAATCCAAAGAAAGCCCTTGCAAAGTTCATCCCCCACTGTAGCAGTATAGTGTTGTCGCTGACCTCGTCTGAAGAGGCTCAAAACGAAGTTGAACTTGATAACGAGCTGCTCTTCAACCTACAAGTGTTGTCAGAGGTATGTGATTTTTGTTGATTTTTTAATTGTGTTTTAATAAAATAGGTAATAATATTAAAATTTTTTTCTTTTTGAAATGTATTCAAAAATGATCAGTACGGTTATTATCATTCTCATCCCACTGGGTCATCGTCATCATCATTATCATCAATATCAAAGTTGTCATTGTAATCACAATCATAATCTTCACCATCAGCATAATCATCATCACTACCACTTATTTTGGAATTGTAAGCACATAGAGACTTCATTGTTAAATCATCATCATCATCAATATCACCTTTATCATGATCATCACAGCAATAATCATCATCATTATCAACATCACCACCATAACCCATCATCATCATCATCATCATCATCATCATCATCATCAACACCTTTATCATGATCATCACAGCCATAATTATCATCAATTATGATATTTATCAACATCACCACCATAACCCATCATCAACATCAACAACATCATCGTCATCATCAACACCATCAACACCACCACAACCACCACCATAATCATATTTTTATTATTATTATTATCTCCACTTTGCCACAAACTTCTTGGGAGTTCTATTGCTTGTAATTAAAAAAAAACTACCTTTTCCCCCTGAAAATTTTAGATTGTTCGATGCGATAGTTCTGTGCTTTTAACCTACAAGAGCACCATCTTGGAGGTGTTACGATCCACACTACATCTGAGGTGTAAGCAGGGCTATGAGTTGGCCTGCAACGTTCTCAAATATTTCCTGAAGGCTATGACCATCCTGTATCCCCTGGAATATTGCAGCAATGCAGAGGGGCTGGGCAAGCCTATCTCTGAGTATCTCCCAATCAGAGTAAGTACCTCTTAATCTCATGAAACTGGCATAAATTGCTGGTGAAAAGTAGTTAATACATTTCACGTCAACAATGTAACATGTGAAAGCTTATGGCCCACTTTGGCGACTTGTTGACATGTCTCCTTTTAATGGCAGTGCTGTATAAAAAAAAATATAGAGCATCTGTGCTATAATAGAAATTTTCTGAGAAAAATTCTTGATTGCAGAATTCCATTTAAAAACTAGTGTTATAATGCTACCTAAGCCAGACACTAATAATATGACCTTGGCTTTTACCTTATTCTTCAAAACTTTCACTGTATATCAATATCTACTGCTCCACTAGAATCTATGATGATTCATTCATTGTTTTTTACATCACTCTGCTATCAAAGACAACAGGGGCGGATTGCTATAAGCGGTCTTTAAACGGTCTTAACGTTTAGCTCTATTACTACTGGTCTAAGCTTGCTAACCAGTTAGCAGTCTTAAATTTTAAAGCCTACTTGGAGGAGGCTTAAAACAGTCTAAAATCATTGTCATCACATGACGTTATAGGTACTAGACCTAGGACTAGATCATCAAAGACTGAGAATCGAACAACAAGTATTCTACAATCTTCTCAGCATCTATAAATACATTTATTTACGTTCATTTTGATATGTGTGCATGTGTTGATGCTTTATGTTACCAGGAAGTGCTTGTATAATACTCAAAGTGGTCTATAACGAAGACCGTTTTATAGCAGTGGTCTTAGCGGGGTGACTTTAGTAAGACCATCTAAGTGATAAAGCCTGCTTTATTCGAGGAGTAAAGACTACCAGTTAAGACCGTTTTATAGCAATCCGCCCCTGAACAAACAGTGGTGAATACATGACCTCTGTGACAGAGGTAAAAATATTGGATGCTACATATGTGGCAAAGACAAGCCAAACCAGTCACTCGTCGCAAAAATCAATTTTGAGTTATTAATACAGTGCTAGAGAGTAAAATAATAGCTATAAAATGGTAAAAAAAAATCATTCAAATCGGACACTTCCTTATGAAGTTACAAGCGTTTAATCACACAGTTGTTTAAAGAACAATATATGAGAAATCAGCCTTCAAAGTTTATGATTTCAGGCATTTCTCATGCAGAAACTATCTTTAAATCCTTAACAAGTGTTGTTTTCACATTGAAAATTGGGAAAATAACAGCATAGAATGATGTATAGATATATAAAGGTTAGTTTAGTGCAATAAAATAGATTTTTTAAAATTTGACATTCCAGCATGTTTTGGCCATTTTCTCTGTAACAGGATTTGCGACGAGTGACTGGTTTGGCTTGTCTTTGCCACATATGATTTTATAGTAATGGTATTAATGGTTTGGGCAGTGCATGATATGTGGTCTCTATAGTATTTTGTTCATTGATATTTAATTAGTACAATTTAAACTACCTTCTTGTTTGGTTATAAGGCACTACTAAAATCTAGAATCATATTTATTCCTACTATTAATGATCTGATTTTAAGGTATATTTTTGACTGAAACAAACATATATTTGCCTCAACTATGTGTTTACCTTAGCACTGGGCTATGACAGGTGATGTACACAACCTAAATATACATTGGCATATACCAACACCAGAGGGCATTGCAGCTGCCAAGGAAGTATTCGCTGTCTTCTGTCGACCAGAAATCGAGAAGCTGAAAGGTTTTGTTAAAGGTCAAAATCTTTCTAGGTAAAATGTTTTTATTATTTTTAGACCTTAATCAATTTTGTTTTTGTATTTCATCATCATCATCATCATCCAGTGATCCAATATCACCCTTCACTGTTGACTGCAATGTGTATGAAAATTTGGCACAATTTTGTATATTAACTGGCAACCTTTTCTTGCACTAGACATTCGAACACTAACTGTTTTGTGAAGTAGGCTTCTTATAGGAGCATGATTATACTGCAGTAACTGGGTCAAACTCTAAATGTAGTTGGTTATCAGACAAGGTGCTATCAGCCATTGGTCATCTGTCACAGCATAAGACCAGCTACCAACTCCCTGATAAGACTACATTCACACTGTACTTGGTATGCCTGTCAAATGAAATGAACTTAACACATTCCATTTTACAGAAAAATTTCACTACCACAGCATAGAGTATATCTACACAAGTGCAGTATATTCAATACATTTACAGAGATTGAAATGGTAGTCTGAGGCACATAGTCTGAGACAACCCTGTCACAACATACCTTTAAGAAACAAATCTAGCCTTTATGAATTCTACTACTATCATTGAAATGATTGATTTAAATTTTCATGTGATTATTCTTTTGTTTTTTTATTTCACAGAGAAGAATTGTTGCAGTCTTTAACTATAGTTTTGAATACTGTTATCGGTATGGCTTTCATTCTACCACGTTGGAATAAAGAACCTGTAACAGACATGTAAATAAATATACATCTTTAATAATTGGTTATTAATAAACAGAAGAAAGTTCTGTAATGCTATTTTGAATGGTGTTTTGCATCAGGAAACTCAATAGAAATTGTGATGGTGATTTACCGAGTATACAGTACAGTAATACGTCAAATTGGGGAACACATTTTACTGACAAAAAACACCATTTTTGTGCATGAAGGAGCAACATTGTTTTGTTTTGTTTTTCTTTTTTTAAAAGCAAAATTGTATTAATTCACATTTTGACATGGGGGTGTCTTAAGTATACCCATGCAGTTAGTATGTATTACAAAAAACCATCACTCCATTTTTGTGTTAAATACCTTACAGAATTGACTTCCGCGTGGAGTTTACTGAGCTGAATCTTAGCACCGGTATTCCTGAGACTGGGAGTGAATTTGAGAACACGAGAGAAGAACTAGCACTGCTTATGAATGACCTTCAAGTGTACATGTTGGAGAAACATGCAGATGATACTAAATCATTGTTAAGCATTATCACAGTGAGTTTGGCTTTTGTTATTTTATTTAGCAGACTTTAGTCTTGATAAGAAGAACTACTTACTATTAATGATATAGTTCTCTATTTCCTTTTATCTAAATATTTAGAACAGTTTTTTTTATTGGATACAGAATGAATGTCTAAATTTATTCATTCATTTGATTAATATTCAAATAGCATCATGCTGATAGCATCGACTAAAGCTCACAGTAAGTTTACATCAAATTCTGCTTGGTTTATTACCGATGAAACACTCCTACAATTATTTTATTAATGTTAGATGGTGAAAGATGCAATTTTAAACCACAATTTTGGTTTTATTATTTATATATTATTTCCTTTCAGATTTACTCGCATCTAGTGTCATATTTTGGGTGTAGTAAAGAAGAATATAATTCTAGAAGTCACAGTTTTGCTTTGGTCAAGCGGTCAATGGAAGACAAGGTAAGGGTGTATTGTCATTGGAGTGAATTGATCATGCGACATTCAAGAGTTAATTATGGGATGTACTTCAGTAGATTAATATGATTTTCATGCTTTGTTGTCACATGATATAAGTGAGTTAATAACATGTTGTTGTTGTTGTTGTTGTTGTTGTTGTTGTTGTTGTTTAGTGGATGTTTTACATCACAGCTAAAGATAAGATGATTTCTGAATATTATAATACAGATCTCTGTTGGAGGATAAACAATGGATGATGTGTGATTGCTATTCTCACCTGCAATAAATTGTTTTTTTTTTATAGCTACGCCGGAAGAAAAATCACCTACGACCGCTGTTGATTGACAGAGTCTACCTGCAACATGACTTCCGAAGGATAAACAGCAGTAAGGGGTCGTACACTGCAATCGACCGGGTCGTAGTTCACAACCTAGTCTCTCTATCAATAAGCCAGTATAGTGAGGTAAGTGTGAACGTGGTAATTGATATTATATTAAATTATTAAAATAGACACACAAATGGAAGGTAGTTAAGTTGCACCATAATAGACAGCCAGACAAGTGGATATTTATATGTAGCGTTTATTTTTTTGTTTTAAAGGTGCGCACGAAGGCCCAGGAGATTTTACTCCATTGCTATGATTATTATAGTGTTTCCAAGAGAGACACTGTAAACAAGGTGTTGGCTGGACTAAAGGAGGATAAAGATATACCACATCATCAGTTCAAGGTAATAGTAGAAAATAGATTGCAATATATAAGATTTATGAGTGTTCAAAATAGTAAAGAAACGTGAATATGAATGTCAAACAACATTAGATGAACAGTCAAATGTAAACACTATTTAAGAATTTAGACATTACAGACACAAAATAAAAGTTCTGGAGAACACAATTTATTAATAATAATAATTATAATGAGGATTCGCTGATATGTAGTCTGCCACTGAAAATCAGCATACATTGTGAAATTGATTGGTTGTCCGAGAGTAATGTGCAGTGCATGTTTGACTTTAGACATTTTAAAAGCAATTATTCTCTCATCTTGTAGGGTTCGCTGTACATAATGGTTGGGAATGGACTCTCTCCATTTGCATTCTTCCATAGAATTAGAAATGTAAAAACTAGAGACAAAATAATGGAGAAAACAACGAGGTGTGCGCAACAAATCATTTTAACAACAGTCCGTTCAGTCTGAAAATTAATGGACAGCACAGCGAGATGGATTGGTTGTCAGACAGTCATAATAGAAATGTAAATAGATCCCAACTAGGCACGTGCAACAGATTATGTTACTAATGATAATTGGCTCATTCTGAAACTGAAAATCAGTGGACAGAGCATAGCAAGGTGGATTTGTTTTGCGACAGATGTACGATGCAGTGTCCACTTGTCTTTAAAGTCATTTAACAGCAATGTATTGTCTCACCTTGCAGGGTTCGTTGTACATAATGGTCGGGCACGGACGCCCTCCGTTTGCGTGCTTCCATAGATGGAAGGTATTACATGACTGCTGGCTGGCCATCATCCAAGCCGGACATTCAGAGAAGCCGTCGATCATGGCTGTGATTGACAAGCTCATGGTCAAGATACAGAAGCATTTTAGTACAGTTGCAATTGAAAATCAAGTAAGTCCATTACCACATACCTTGACAACAAAATTATGTATAAAGTTCAACCACTTATTATAAACTAGTATCATTTGTGAATTTGGACATAAACACGTAACAATAAAAATGAATTTTTATAATCATACACTTTTGTTTAGTCGCCCTACTGAATGTCATGTAGTTTATATAGCGCTTTATGGCAAAGTCTCAAAGCGCTCGAGGTGTGGACTAGCTCGCACAGTACCTTTCTTCTCCCCTAAGGGTCTCTTTGTGTCTGAGCTACCTGGTAAATCGGTACCAGCTATATCTCATCTGTCCACAACAGGGGCAGTACACCGGGGTAACCCCCTACTCGTCTTGAAAGATGTACTGGGTTCTTTATAGTGCACACCAGCCATTGTGTACACTGGGCCTATGGTTTATAGTCCTTATCTGAGAAGACTTGTTCCACCATCTGAACCATAGGCAAGCGTCGCCCCTGCCTTAACCGCTCGGCCATGCAACTCGCCGAGCGAGTTGAATGCTATGTAGTCTGTTTTGTGAATACTTTACTAGGATGAACAAGCATATGCCTAATTTAAATCGCAGATAATAATTAATTGGTGATAAAAAGACCATTATTTTCAAGTTAAGTTCCAAAATGGGAAATTTAGCTTAAATATCAGTTAATCCAAGTTAGTATCTTGATTAGCAAAAAGAAAAATGTGGTAACAATTAATTACAATATTATTTATGCTGCACTGAAATGAATAATAATGAATACAGGGTTGTAGCTATAGAAAACTAAGGGTGAATGCTAGACATATTAAGGGTGTGTAAGTGATAACATTGGTAAACTCTAAATAATAAGAGTAGATTTTTAGCATGGGCAAAGGGGGTTTAATAAAGGTAGGTGGGAGGGCCATGAAATTAGAATGGGTGGAAAACTTTAAGGCTGGCTTGGCCCAGCCACACAACTGCCTCCCTGCTGAATTATTTTGTTGACACACGGTAAAGATTTTTGATAAGAGAAATTTAGCACGGTTCATCCAGGTAAGCATCTCACTAATAGACCGTTAACATCACTTCAATTTTTGTAATTTGCATATATCACACCTGTAGATAACCGATGAATGTTTGAAAGATGCTGAGCACCTATTGGACTCAACATCAGCACCTGCACCAATCAAAGGCGGACTTACAGCAGAGGAACATGAACAAGCTACACAATGGCTACAAGAAAGAAACCAAGAAAATACTATGTATGTATATTACAATTAGTTCCTTATTTGTATGGGGATCGCCATTTCGAGCTATGTATATTTGTTATGACAATATAGTGCAGTAAAACATATAAGTAAATACATACAACAAAGTTGTGGTTATTCATGAAGTTGAGGTTATTTACACCATTGCTTTATTTATTGTAGATGTAGATTATATGATTTTTATTATTAATATGGTAATCATTGTTATTATATGTAAATACTATTAGTAATTTATTATTATTATTATCATAATTATGTTTTTTACAGTATTATACATTGAATTTTAATATTAATTGTACTTTGTCATTTTTTTTTTCTCAGGATTTACAACAATTTAGTGGAATCTCTTGTTAATCTCATTGAAAATGGCAATCTGTGAGTTTTCATTTTTTAAATTGAGAATAAAAATTGACATTATATCAGTTGAAGTTACATCTGAGTAAATTCTGCTAATCTTAATTTTTACAGACGTTGGAAGTTCTCCCAGCTTGCCCTCGGTTTTCTTGGATTACTTATACGCACGGACATTCCATTTCCAGCTAGGGGTGTTCGTCTTATGGTCAATAGTCTAGTACACGAAGCTTTAACAGTTCGCAAGGTGGTATTTAAACTATGTCTGCCTTTAAAGCTATAATAAATGTGCAAATTAATAAATTATAGAAATAGAACCTATAATATGTATATTATAATGATGCTTGTGAATTTGTCATTACCAACCTTTTACAAGAAGACCATACACATAAAATTTGTGTAATTTGTGTCCTCCAAAAATAGAAGCAAAAAAGTCCATTGATAACCCTTTAAATCCCACACTGTATGTCAAAGAATAGAGTAATATATTATTTCTTTGACCTTTTATTAGTTTATTTTTTACTTAATTTCTGGATTATTTTCCAACAGATTGCAGTTGCTACAGTAGGTGCTATTTTAAAACAACAAAAGCGCCCTCACAAGATGATAACCATAGATCCAGCTGCTCAATCATCATCAACAGCAGCTGCGTCTGAATCTGAAGGAGGCCTGAACCCAGGCACCCGTTCCGACAACACATGGCACCACTACAACTGTACCCGTGCACCTACGAAAGAGGAATGGGAAAAATGGGTATTTGTTGAGAAGACGCATTGGGGCTATTACCAATGGCCAAAGTGAGTACCGTACTCGCGCGAATAAGCACCCGTTTGAATAAGCACCCCTCTTGAATAATAACAGATATTATACAGTATTTAGGGAATAAATGATAATTTAAAATAATAAATAATAGTATAGGTACTTTACCGGTTGTGATTAAAACAAACTTGTATAAAGCAAGAGTTCAGTAAATTAATATTTTGACTGTTGTCATTTATATTTATCATCCTCCATAGTAATTGTACTCGACTTCACATCGTTACATCGTTACTCAATCTGGGCTTCGTTCATGGGGTATTAATGAATATTTTTTCCCCTTCAAAAAGCGCTTCTTGAGTTTTACAATTTGCTGTAAGCATCCCTCAATTTTCATCTATTTCCATAAATGCCCCCTTAATTTCCACTCTGTTTTCATAAGTGCCCCGTTTAAATAAGTGCCCCGTTCGGATAAATGCCCCTCAAAAAGTGAAAAAAAAATGTAAATGTCTGCACGCTTATCCGCGCGTGTACAGTATTTGACATGTAGTAGGAATTTAAATAGTTCAAAGAATAACCCATAACTGGCAGTATGTCATCATGCTTAATTCAGTGTGATCAGTGACTACGGTAGCATCCACAGAGAGGTGCATAGTAGCTTGATGTTCCCCTCATTCCAGAACAACAGAAGCTGAAATAGTATTTGGCATCGAGGTAACCTCCAACTCTTGAGCCAAATGTGTACACCCGACCTTATTTCTTATCCAAAAAGACTTCGTTCTAACCAATACTGAATAATGATGATCATTAATTTTAATATTATTTAAATTAATTTTTTTCTATATCTTCATACAAACCGTTGTACATATTTCCATTGCAGACCTTTCAAAGTGTATGCACCAGTAAGTGAACAACCTAAGCTTGGAAGAAGTATAGAAGAGTTAACGCCTGTAAGTAATAAACCAAATTGTGGTTTACAATGGTTTCATTGTTTACAACCAATTTTTGTGTCTACTGCCCTGCAGTAGGCACTTTCCTGTCGCTGTATATATATATATATATATATATAAATATATATATATATACTGTATATATATATATCGTATAAATACTATATCTTTATATACACGTCATCGTTTTAAATAATCTGGCAGTAGACACACGCTCCCGCTGGGAGCCTATTTTTAAACATGAATATGTGTGCATTTAGTTTTTTTTTAGAAAATGATAGATTAGTTCGCACAGGAGTTGCATTTGAGATTCTGAATTGTAAGATCAGGGGTTTAAGTACACATTGGCTGTTCCTTTGAATAAAACATGAATAGCTGTGTATATAGCAATTATTTGAAATAGTATCAATCATTATATAGCAGTTGCCATTCCAACTGCCAGGCATCAGTTGAGGGGAGGACTACTGTATTACCTTAAATAGAACATGAATATTTATGTGTTTAGCAAATTCATTATAACGAAAACATGTATGTATTAATTTTACAGGGGGAAAAGGCAATCTATGTAGCCTTTAGCGATCCAGATTTTATAGAGCAACTAATGGGTTTCTTATCGCTAGAGGATCGTAAGGGCAAAGATAAATTTCAAAATAAACGATTCACGCTGTTTAAGGTATGTGTGTTTAATATTTGGTTATTTTATTTAATCTGTTCAAGGTCAGCACAGTCAACTGTTGATAAAATTTTCATCCATTTCAGTTATATAAGAATGGACTCTTCTGCTAATGTATATGAAATAATTTGTAATCAAGGCAAATTTCATAATTCTATTAATCATTCTTCTGGCCTATCTGTTAATGAATTTTCTAATATTTTCTAATGATTAATAGAATATGTATTTATATAGAATTTATTTGATGTTAGTATAAATGTTATCTCTTTTAGGGCTTGTTTCGTAACTTTGATGATGCATTTCTCCCGGTGCTCAAACCCCATTTACTAAGACTATCACAAGATGCTCAGGAGAGCAGTCAACGGTGTCTTTCAGAGATTGTGTCTGGTCTGATCAGAGGCTACAAGCACTGGTCATTTGAAAAGGTTAGATATTGCTGTGCTTAAAAACTGTCTTTATAGTAATGCTTAACAGGTTTTTTTCCTCTCATGAGCTTAATTGGCAAGATCACGATAACATAGTAATGATAATAATAAGAAATACAACATATTATTGATGATTATATAATATAGAGGTGCTTTAGACTTTAGTGAGCTTTGTAGTTGGATGGTACAGCAGGGGCACTACTAAAAGCAGAATTTGATATTGGCACTGGTTCCTTCTATTGCTTAGGGTTTCATTTGCTGAAATGAATTCTTTTCAAATAAGGATGCCATGATTGTAGGCTTAGTATATACAACTGTCTTGTGTGCAGCTATAGCCTGAAACTTACTGAAGAATAGGAGGGTACATTTTACATGCCACCAGAAGGACCCCAGCTGGAATATGTCTTTGACATTTAGTTGGTTTTCTTTATAGTATGTTACACACTAAAGAATACCAATCAATGTGCTTAATTATATTTTCTTAATATTCACATCACATCACCCACATTGCACTAGCATATACTCAATTTCTTGTTACGTGCATGCCTATGTTTACCAATAACCAGGTGGAGAAGCTTTGGGAGTTTCTGGTACCGATCCTGAGAACAGTACTCAACCAGATGACGGTGGATACTATACGAGACTGGAACATGTGTTTCTCAACAGCGAGCGAGAGCCGTGACCCTCGTAAACTTTACTGGCTTCTAGAGACGCTTATGGAAAGCCCCATCACAGGAGATGGCGGGTCATTCAGTGATGCAAGGTTGACCTTTTGTTTAGAGTTTGAACAATACTCGGTTACTACTTTGAATATTCAGATACTAATTTAGATATTTAGTTACTTTGAATATTTTGTTACTTTTTTTTTTATACATATTCAGGAATTCTTATATGTATTAATTTTCAACTATACGTTTTTGATAGGATTTATTTGCTCTATTAGTGCATTTACCAAGTCATTTTCTTAATATTTTTGTGTTTAGTCGACTGTTTGTCTTACAAGGTTGTCTTGTACAACAGGAGTGGCGGGTACCGGGGCTGCTTCACAGGCTCCTGGTCTACTTAGAACAACACCTTACACACACATATAAGAATGTACGAGATCGAGTAGGCAGGTGAGAACTTTTTTCAAATTACTATCTGTTGTCATCATTTTCAACAGATTTTGGATTAATACACCAATGATAGAAATAATTTTGATATATAAGTATATGGCAATAGAGAGCTCCATAATAGAGTTGGTTAAACCAAAGAGTATAGAATAGTAAGACGTCCGACTGCTGGGGTTTTTCTTTGAAACAGAATTCTATCTTGAAAAGTACTACTATGAACTTGAGGCATCCTTCAAAAGAACGTAAAAGTTGTTTGTATTGAACACGTGCTTTGTCTATAGAACGCATGTTTAAATTTCGAACTCGATTTAAATTCGAATAGGGCACCCCCTACCTTGTGGTACTACTTTTTTTTTGTTTCATTGAGTGCATGCAAAATCAGGGCATTTTTAACCACTTTCTATTCTATACTCTTTGATTAAACCTAGTGGTAACCAATGTGTGTACACTGAACCTAGGAGATACTTGTATCCCTGATTTCATTCCATCAAGATGCTCACACTGTAAAATACTGGTTATAACTGACCGTCTTTTAGAAGAGAAGAGGCTGGTTGGTAAAGACCACAGTAAAAGGAGATTGTTTCTTGAAGCATTTACTAGATGTACCAGGTGTACTGGTCCATTCAGCCCCTGTTACAGACAGACAAGAGAAGCTGGTACCAGTTGACCGGGGAACTCAGGCATGAAGAGATCCGTAGGGTAGAAGCCGGCTACTATAAGAGCTAGTCCACACATTAAGTGTTTTCAGACCGTTCTGGTATAATGCACTATATAAATTTAACTACATTACTTTAAATGCCCGGGGCTGGAAATGCTCAGTGTGAGTTAAAAAATGTTGAGAGCATAAATGCAAATGAACATAAACTATGTTATGATATTAATATTCACTTGCTTGGATAAACCAGTGTCTTTGTTTCTTTTTTACAGTGTTCTTTCCTGGATATTCCTCTTTGATTTTGCCATGCCAAATGGTAATGCAACTACCTCACCTCACACTGCAGATTTCGCAAAGAAGTTACTACCAAGACTTGCGGCCTTGCAGACGATAGAAGTCGAAAGCAGTGCATCGGCAAGCAATACAGAAATGATGGAAGTGCAATCACGCGAAGAAGACGGGAGGCAAGATATAATTAAACTTAGCAAAACAGGTCAGTTCACTGGAGTTATCTATCATAAAGTTGGGATAGCGTAGTTGAATTTGGTGCACGATTGTCATGCTTGGCTTAATAGGTCAAGATCTAAATGTTTTTTTTTTCTCTTTAAATTCAATCTTTATATTTAAATGATTTGTATTGTAAGACTTACATCATTGTAATGTCTTTCTTCCTTTGCAGTAATGAAGTGGCTTATAGGTAGTTTAGGTAAAATGTACTCGCCAATCTCACCAGAAATGCTCAAGTTTTTACCAATGGTAAGCATAGTTTTATCCTGACTAAGCATTTAATGACTGTCCTGTGAAAATGACAGAAAATCATAAATGTAATTTTGAAATTAACTTGCTCTTTTTGCAGTAACATACATATTATTATCTTGAGCATAGAAATGTTCAGTGGCAGATTAAAGGGGGAGGGGGGCAAGCTGTCTGGGGCCCCATATATTTTACAAAATAAAAAAAATAAAAAAATTGAATAAAAAGGAAAATTATATTTAAATTTAGGTCTTTGAGTGCCATTTCCAGTCATCTAAAGGTGTAATAATCAGAAATGTTCTTAACTCAGCACCAACCATAATGGAACTGTGGGGTTTAGACCCTCCATCTCTTGAAGTCCCTCCCTGGGACCCCATCTATTTTTAATTCCTGGATCCACCACTGATGTTCAAAAGGTTGATGTTTTGCCCTATCTGACGTGTTATCGTACCAAATTCTCAGTACATTCCCAAATACTTGCGTAAAAATTTTTGCAAGTGATTTGGGTGGGAATCGAACCCATGACCTCCAGGAAATACAGGTGTCTTAACCACTAAACCACCAAGCTTATGCTTAATGACTAGTGTTGGATTTGCTCCCCAAGTATGAGTGGCTACTGCAAATGCTATTTCGATGTGTGTTTGCCTCAGGAAAATATCACGGGGGTGATGTTCAAGTTGATAATTTTTATGTTACATGAAAGTGAGCAATTTGAATTTCAAAAATTATCTTTATGATTGCTTTTTTGTATTGTTTATAGGACAATAGATATTTAGTAGATACCTGTTAGCTATTAAAGCAGGGAAAAAAGCACTCTCGGAAGTTTTAACCAGGGGTTTTTTTAAGGATGAAATATTTGTTACACCACTCCTCATAGAGTAGTAGAAGCATACGTTTTGTATGAGAACTACTGACAATGCAAGTTGTACCCAGATTTTGTAGTAAATTTATATTTATAATTTTGTTTAACACTTCACAGCTTGCACCCCTTGAAAATGTAGAATCAGACGAGGAGTTGAATGAGTTGGCATGCCTCACGTTAGCTTGTATGGCTCAGAGTCTGCTGCCCTCGCACAACATTCCGTATGCAATCCAGGCTTTACAAGAGGTTAGTGAATGTATGTTGTATTACAGAGAGCAGCTAAGCTTAGTCAGCTAATTTGGTTGTAGCCACTGTGTGTGCACTGTTCATTGAGAACTTTTCTGACCTTTGACCTTGCTTCAATTCCAATTGCTGCTCTCCTTGTATTTCAGCTGGGGGCTGCATATTTACATTTAAGCCTTTGGTCCTGTGTGCAATATGGCCCATGTGTCATATTTTAGGATTCAGTACACTCTTTGGAGTTGGGATTATCTTGCAGTGTACTGCCTAAATCACCACTAGAACGACCGCACTGGGAACAACTTTCTCGTACTTAATTGTTTATCCTTGGTGTTTAAAAACCAGATACTAATAACTCAATACAGATCTGTAAGAGCTTTACCCAAACATTTTTAGTTTACATAGAATTCATATGAGGTTTGCACATCCCAGAACCAGCATACTTTCGTTAAATGCGTAATTAGCATAAGAATGTGGCAGACAAATCAAGTACATTACCTATCATTTTAAAGCTTAAAATGTTGACAATATGAATATATATAAAAGGCAATTTCATTTTGGTTTTGATATACTGATGGTGATTTTTTCATGTCAAGCCCCATAAAGTATTAGACATTGTATCTTTCGCATCATAACTCTCACTCAAAAAATTGCAATAAATCCAAAACATAATTACTGATAATATAAATATATATTGTACCTGTTTGTTATTGATGCAGGTTGCCAATGGGACATCGTGGCGAGGAAAATGTAGCATGCTACAATACATGCAGGTTATGATCTTCTACAACCTGTTTGCCATCAGTCAACCGGAGTATGTAGAGCAGATTAAGAATCTAATAGTTGGGCTGCTAAAGGATGAAAGACTTGAGGTAATTTAACTCCTCGATAATTTAGTTATTGTCTTTATTAGTGTCCTAGAAATAGGGGATATACTCAGTTTTAAGAGTAATTAAAAAAGTTATGTTTGCATGTAGCGCGCTCAACTAAAGCTGGAATCTCACAGCGTCATCAACCAAGCAACAAATCCATCTCTAGTGAGTGTTAGACAAGCAATGAGGTCTCCTATTTGTCGGTTGCTGTGTGCAGATTGTCGTGTCCACCTCACTGCGCTCACATCAATAACTTTTTTTAAAAGCAGCTATGATAATTTGGAATTTAAGATGATAATCAAGTCCAAAGCATTGGAGCAACAGCTGGAAAAGCCATAGCCTAGAATTGAAATCTCTTGTATCTTTGTTTTTATTAGGTACGTGAAGCAGCTGCTACAACTTTAAGCGGCCTGTTTCATTGCGGTTTCTTTAGGATAGACTCTCAACTCCAGAAAGACTTTGAGAAGATGTGCAAGACGAAGCTGCCTGCAAAGAGACTAAGATTACAAGATCCTCAGTTTAATGCAGAAGGTTAACACTATCCACTATTCATAAACATAATTTACACCACATGACTAAAATATAGATTACAACACTAAATATAAAAAAAAATGAGAATGAAACAAATTATTTTAACTATACAAAGTGCAAATACTTCATTAAATATAGCTATTTAAAAAAGACACATTTCCATTTTTTATTAGGTTTGTATAGATTTTAAAGACTAAGTGAGAGAGATATTGTTAAAACTCTTCTAGGCTACCTTGGCACTTAACACTTTTTAGTGTTTCTGTCACGGCCAGGGTGGATAGTAAAGATAGCATCAAAGTTTTCTATTAGTTCATCTTTTGGTGTACTTACCTTGGAAGGAAGTTTAGCTTGGAAAATTAATTGCCATGCACTAATTGCATACTTGTTCATGATTGTTATTTTAGTTCCATTTGTAATTTCTTTTTGAGGCCTATGTTAATAAACTGTATAATATATAAACCTCTGTATAAAAACAACTTACTATTTTGCAGGGTCAGTTAAGCCAAACCTACCAGACATTTTTTTGTTCATATGAATTAAACTAAATTGTTTTTTTTTTTTTTTTATTTTTTATTATAGCTTTCTATTCATCTATCATTCAACGTCATGCTGGTGTTCTTGGGTTAAGTGCCTGCATTCAATCATGTCCTTACGACGTCCCTGTTTGGATGCCACAAATTCTTATGGATTTGACCGACCATCTCCATGACCCCCAACCAATTGAGGTACGTAGCTCTTTGGATTTTGCTCTTCATTTCTCTTCCTATCTATCCGTTGTTGCACATACAGCAATATTTTTTATATGCATGCCTATATATATATATATATATTTGGCTTTCTTCTGTATTATAGCCAATAGGAGATCGATTTTATACAAAATGCCAACATTATTAGATCTATATGTTTGTTTTTATTTAGCCACTAATAGTACCAATAATTATCTGTGGTCTTAAATTGCAAGTGAAGCAATGTTTAGTTCAACTATTGTTTGTTTTTGAGGTTTCTTAGTTGATTTAATTAGCACCGATTCAGGATAGGTTCAATTTAGTCGGTGTGTAATATAATAATAATAATAATAAGAATTTATAAAGCGTAAATTGAACGACCAAGGTGCATTATTAAAGGCGCTGTGTATGTTAATGATGGAGGAGAGTTTTAAGTAATTTTTTTAATGAACCAACAGAAGAACAATTTTTAATGTGTGCAGGAAGTGAATTGCAAAGTGTAGGTGTGGCAAAAAAATTTTTGGCCAATAGTTTATAAGGATAAGCGGGGAAGGGAGAGCAAAAAATTATCAGATGATCTTAAGGTGCGTCCAGGAACATAAATATGGGTAAGCTGATAGATAGGTTGCTTATATAAACAAAAGTGCTTTAAAAGTAAGTAGCAAGTTTTTGCATGGTATTTGTATCTTCGAACAGTCATTCAAAAATTCAATAGATTCATATATATAACTATCTGTTTCCCTGTCTATCACCAACAACCGACCCATGTTTTCTTACAGTTAACTGTCCGTAAGACCTTCTCTGATTTCCGAAGAACGCACCACGACAACTGGCAGGAGCATAAACAACAGTTTACGGATGACCAGCTCGTAATATTGACTGACCTCCTAGTGTCCCCATGCTATTATGCATGAGCTATTCATCATGCCTCAATAAACTTGGTATTTTTGGCATTTCCTTTTGACCTCATCTGTTGTGCATCAGTGAACTGGGTATTTTTTCATGTTTGTGTGACTGGATATTTGAAAGGGCACTAACAGATTGTTGTAATTGTCTGTTTTTATAAATTTATTTTTTATGCTCTTGCTCTAACATTTTATGCATAGTACTGTATAATTGTTGATTTTCTAAAAAAAAAGGCGATTTTATCCAATATACACAATTTGATTTTGATTTTGTTTTATTAATATTTTTATTTGAATTTATTATAACAAATTTCATTTGCATATTAACCTAGTGAAGCTTTTTGATTTCACTCAATGTGCATGAGCAATGAGTCTTAAAAAAAATCTCTTTTGCAGTCATCACATGATATGATAAACAATATTCATGTGGTTTCATATAGTTATACCATGAAAGTGCGCCCTCTGCATTCTGGCAGGGAGGTAGAAGTGCACCCTCTGCAACTTAGTATTGAAATTAAGGCATATTGATTATGCCCAACAAATAAGTAATCAAGCCGTGGAGGTGCAAATCAATGTCAGATAGCTTCGTAATCGGCGTTAAATCTCACAAAACGAGCAGAGGGAACCATGGCCGTATCCAGGATTGCCTTTTGGGATGTGTGGAGTGTGCAAAAATTTATCAACTTGTGCATGTGGGTCAAGATCGAAGAGCCGGTGGGATTATAGCTTAAGTAATATAGAGGTTCCAAAGTCTTTGATCAATGTTAGCCTCGTCATCCATGAAACGCATATACAGTAGTACTATCTATACTAAAAATTAACAAATTATTTTTTATATCCAGTATATTCTTGATTATTTTAAAAGTGTTGACCTTTTTGATCGCAACCCCTTGGCCAATTTCCCAGATACACATGCCTAATTTCTATACATTTTGTTTTTACAAACCAAATAATATACCACTGACCTTTTTACTTTCTTTCCATGAATATTATCTTCATATATCTTGATAATCCTTTCCATTCCTATGAACTGTAATATAGAAATGACAATAATTATGCATGTTTGTTACCTTAATTATATCCACAAAAATGATAAGCATTGGTCAACTAGAAGCTTGGTTGTGCAGTAAAAAGTTGAACAGCTAGCTGCTCAATAAATAACGGGTTAATCACTTTTGAACAACTGCTTACATTAAATAAAGCAAGGTGTATTTTTTTAATGAATAAATATATAAGATGACATTACCTATATACGTTAATTTATCCATAACAGTAATTAAATGCTACTTGAAACTTTAATTATCATGCTTGCTTCTGAGGTCATTTAATGATTTCAACCTTTCTAAGTTCTTTTTTAAGTTTTTAATCTCATGAATTTCTATTCTGAACTGAAAAAAGGAAGGGGGTAAGAAGTGAAATGGGGTAGTGAGAATGGTATGTACCTGTTGCGTTATTGTTTCAAGGCAACAGAATAGACGGTTGCAACAATCAAAGTTAGGCAGTATGTTTTTGTTTATGCGACAATATTTACTTAGTATTCTAAAAAAGAAGATAAAATAATGTCTTGTGTATTATTTTTTTAATATCCTGAAATAATATATATATATATATATACTGTCTCTTATACACATCTAGATGTGTATAAGAGACAGCCTATTTATCTGTGAAATGGACTAAATGATCCGTTTTTTTATGTAAAGTTAGAATTAAGAAGCTATTTTTTTTCACCTTAATGTTGGGGAGGACTTCGAGTGATATTTTTTTTACCAGAAATATTCTTAACTAATAATGTTAATGTATATTTAAAAGAGGCTCTGGCTAATGGCAGTTAGTAGAGCGCCTCCTATGTTTTAACTTTTGATTGGGTGTGGAACAAAGATCTTATATAAGATCTTTGGTGTGGAAAGTTTGCCAAAAGGGGGCGTGTGTAGTCCCTATTAGTAGAGCTATAACGGCAGACAATTGAAGACAGTAAATACAGTAGTACAGTATACATAGGGCTATTTGATGTCCGATACTTTTTCACAATTGGGCAATAGAGTAATAAAATTAGAAACTGTTATCAATTAAAGCTTTGCATAATTAATGCACTTGTTGTGAAGTATTTAACAGCTGGATTTTGTTGTTTCTGATTTCCGAGTAATAGATTACTGTAATTAATCCTCTATGAAATCTGATTAAAATTATAATTATTTTGAAGAAAATGCTCAACTCTGTCTCAGCGTGTTATTGCACAGGTGTATTACTTTTATTATCAAAGTGTTTATTTTTGCCGGCTGAAACTCGAATTTGCCTATCCTCATTGCATGATTGCATGACCACACCCAAACTCCAAAAGCGGTACGGTAGTACAGGATCCGAAAATATTTTGATTGTTGTAGTTTTGTACTTTATTGTTTATTTTTGTTACATTTCTTGTTTTTGCATGTGTAAACCAACGATTTCAGCCTGTGAGTTTCTTGTTTTGGTTTTCTTTTATACCTTTTTGAAGTATTTGGGAACGTAGTGAGTATTCAGTACGATTACACGTCAGGTAGGGCAAAACATTACACTATGCAAGTAATACTGTACAAACAAAAAAAATATACTGAAACATAGTCGATTGGCCGAGCGGTAAGGCAAGTGGGGGCCGCTAACTACAGCCTTAACATCGGCGATAGTTCAAGCCGTTCCTTGTCCAAGGTTCCGTTGGTAGAACCACAGGACTTAAAATGGAGGCCCAGTGTATACTTCTGGCTTGGGTGCACTTTAAAGAACCCATTGCATCTTTCGGAAAAGTAGGGCGTTACCCCGATGTTATGGTTATTTCAGCCCCTGTCGTGGAATGATGTGGACATAAGCTACTTTACGGCTGCTATGGTAGTCAACGGACCACACCCATACGCAATTCAGCACAGTGATGCTGCAAGTTATGCGTTATTCTGCTACCTTTACCCTAGCTGAGAGGAAATAATAGAAGTTTGACAATAACATTTACTTTTGTGTGAATTTCAGCTTACTAGTATAGTGAAAAAATGGGCCCCCGTGACCATTTTTCGGGGACCAAGGTTTCTCTGCTGATTTGGCCTTACTAGGGTATAAATAAAAAAATGAGCGGGGGTGAGCCTCCTGGAAAAGGGCGGAACATGTTTTTTGGCGGCCATTTTTAAAATGGCCGCCAAAATCAAGAGAATGGCTCATAACTTTACTTCTACTCCATGAAAAAGGGTAAATATGGTGTAACTATATGTTATAAGGGTCACTGAATTCAATTAGACATGTTTCAAAAACCTAGGATGGCAGCCATTTTGAAATTCAGGATGGCTGCCATAGTAATCGTTGAAAATCAAATATTCCAGTATAATTCCATTTCCTGTCGTTGAAAAATGGTAAATATGATGTCTACTCCTATGTAATTAGGCTCTCTGAGTCCAATAAGAATAACTTCCATAAGCTAGGATGGCAGCCATTTTTAAATCCAAGATGGTCACCACATAAATTGTCAAAAATCAAATATTTTGGTATATAATTGCATTTCTCCTCGCTTGAAAATGTGAAATTTGGGGTCTAATCATATGTTATTCACATCATTGAGTCCAATGAGCATAGTTTCAAAAACCAAGCATGTCAGCCATTTTGAAATTCAAGATGGCTGCCGTAATAATCGTTGAATATCAAATATTCCAGTATACTTCTACTTCTTATCGTTGAAAAATGGTAAATTTGATGTATTCTCATATGTTATTGGGCTCTGCAAGTCCAATAAGCAGTTTCAATAAGCTATGGCAGCCATTTTAAAATTCAAGATGGCCACCACAAAAATCGTCGAAAATCAAATATTTTAGTATATAATTGCACTTCTCCTCTATAAAAAATGTTAAATTTGGTGTTTAATCATGTTATTGAGCTCACTAGTCTAATGAGCATAGTTTGAGGAAGCTAGAATGTCAGCCATTTTGAAATTCAAGATGGCTGCCGTAATAATCGTTGAAAATCAAATATTTTAGTATAATTCCACTTCTTGTCCTTGAAAAAAGGTAAATTTGATGTATTCTTATATGTTATTGGGCTCTGCAAGTCCAATAAGCATAGTTTCAATAAGCTAGAATGGCAGCCAATCTAAAATTTAAGATGGCCAACACAAAAATAGTCGAAAATCAAATATTTTGGTATATAATTGCACTTCTCCTTGATAAAAAATGTTAAATTGGTGTCAAATCATGTATGTTTCTCAATAGAAATTGTAAACATGGTGTCCAATGACTTGTTATGGGCAATCCAAATTGAGTCCAAATAACGTAGTTTTAAAAGGATGACAACTATAAGTTTTTCCAATATGTCTGCCATTATTATGTACACATTTTACCTTACAAAATGCAAAAATAATAAATCTTTAGAAATACTACTACTATATAATAAAACATAAGCATTTGTTTGATGAACCTGTCTGTCTCTTCGGGATTTTGTTAAACTCTTTACTTGATAAAAACTGGTCCTGTAACTTCATGTGTGTATTAGGTATTTTCTGCCCATTTGATCGTCATTCTCTTTCTTCATATTTGGTCGACTCTTATTTACTGTATGGGTCATTAACACATATAATGGCTGATGCATTGTGATGTTTTTTAAATATATCTGTGCATTTGTTGACATAATTCTCCCAAGTAAACAAGGAACCATCTTCATTAAGCCTTTGTTCTTTATTAGGGATTGCCTTTCTGATGACCATGCCCATATCGATGATAGCTGTGTATTCTGTATCTGCAGAATTGATTTTTGTATTCATAAAGTGGACAAGTTTTGATTTCTGGCATTTTCTAAATGTACCATTAGCATTGAATATGGCCAGAGATTTAGAGGCTACTCTCACCAAAGTTACAACTTTTGATCGACAAGTGGAAATTATATACCAAATATTTTATTTTTGACGATTTTTGTGGCGGCCATCTTGAATTTCAAAATGGCTGACATGCTTGGTTTTTGAAACTATGTTCATTGGACTCAAAAATGTGAATAAAATATGATTAGACCCCAAATTTAACATTTTTGAGCGAGGAAAAATGCAATTATATATCAAAATATTTGATTTTTGACAATTTATGTGGTGGCCATCTTGGATTTCAAAATGGCTGCCATCCTAGCTTATGGAAGTTATTCTTATTGGACTCAGAGAGCCTAATTACATAGGAGTAGACATCAAATTTACCACTTTTCAACGACAGGAAATGGAATTATACTGGAATGTTTGATTTTTAAAGATTATTATGGCAGCCATCTTGAATTTCAAAATGGCTGCCATCCTAGGTTTTTGAAACATGTCTAATTGAATTCAGTGACCCTAATAACATTAGTTAGACACCAGATTTACCCTTTTTCATGGAGTAGAAGTAAAGTTATGAGCCATTCTCTTGATTTTAGCGGCCATTTTAAAAATTGCCCCCATGTTCCGCCCTTTTTCAGGAGGCTCACCCCCGCTCATTTTTTTATTTATACCCTAGTGATGCCGAATCAGCAGAGAAACCTTGGTCCCCGGAAAATGGTCACGGGGGCCCTGTTTTTCACTATACTATACTCATTAAAAATATGTAAAAATAGTCTATATAAAAGGATATTCCTTCATATTCTAAAATATATTTATATATTGTTATAAAAATAATACCTAATAAAAACAAAATCGGGAAAGAATCGGCGTAGCATTTGGCCCTTTTGTAAACCCTTCGTGCCAACCCCGATTACGGCGGGTTTTGCGAAAGGGGCCAAATGCATCTGGCGTGTGTGTGTATACTGACAGTAGTGTAGTCTGTTTTATTTTTGAATTAAAGAGAAAAGGGTGATCGATAACATACTTAGGCAGTGCATTCTTGTCAACAACGGTTCTTTGTAAAAATGAGTTATTTAAAAATATTGGCATAAAAGAAAAAACGTGTGATGACCCAGTGGCGCCTCTTGAATAAGGGGAAGTGGGGTGGGGACTCGATGATTAAGCGAGTGCACTAGCTCACAAAATATCTTCTTGAGCGTGCTTTCTTTACTTCAAACATTTTCAGTGGAGGATGGGAAGCTGCTGGGGGATTTTCTAGGGAGGGGCGTGCACCTACCCCCGCCCTTTGCTAGGTATGATGTAATACGAATGTGTGTCTTCTGTAGCCTAACGGATGGTTTTGCATTTGGAAGCATTAAATCTCATTAAACACAGTAGACAAGACATCTTGGTAAGGATTGTTTCTATGAGGCCTATTACCTATAAACTATTATTTCAGTCAGTGTCCCTGGAATTTATCTAATCCTGCAATAAACATCTTGGTGCATATGAATGATTTTATTTTTCGAATAGCTGAACTCAAGGCAATTCAACAGAAGGACACACATCTCCGCTCTCGAACATAGCGCGTGCGTACAGTCCTTTGATCTTTACTGATGTGGCATCGACAATCCGATACTAGTTCTAAGTTGCGAGTGCAGCCGTCAATTATTAGTCTATGCGCGCCATACGTTTTATGGTGTTAGTAACTATTTTATTAATGTTGGGTACTTCGCAATGTGTGTTACATCTGATTTCTTTTGACCGTTAGCTTGTTAAATGCTTCTATAAACTGCAGTTTGATTTGTGAAAATTGACCCAAGAAAATGAAAAGTTTAAGCATTTGAAAATTTACGAATTTTATAAAATGTCATATTCTTATGTAACATTAAACTGTCATTTTGACAATGTTGGACTAAGGTGCACAAAACGAACATTTGAGTAGATACAGAAAATTTATTATTTTTTTCTGCGAATTGAGTCTCATGAACGACAATACACCACAACATCGGTAAAATTAATGTTGAAATGAAGAATATAATTTCAGTCTAATGTTCGTGCAAAATGTTATAAGCTTTTGTAATCACGGCACGACGCGCGATTATCATGGCGGCTAACACATGGTCTGGTTGCTATGGTTTTTGTGACGTTCAGCGTTTAGGGACGCGCGGCGCCTAGAATGTCGATGCCAGAATTTTACAACCTTTGATGTCCCGAGATGTGCGTCCTGTTGAATGGAACTTTCCGCTAAGCCCCGCCCCTTGGATATTGCTAAGGTCCCACAAGACGACAGTGTTAAAACCATGGAGGTAATTGATAATACCTCCATGGTTAAAACATACCAGAACACGTGCATTTGTGGGACAACACGTGTGTTTGTGAGACGCGCGCTTATTCCTAGCGCTGTTCTGATTAGTCAGTTGTTAAGTTGATTGACACTCCGAAAAGGTCTATTGCCTTGCTGAACTCAAATAACTAGAACTTTTGCACGCGCACTAAATAAGAGAGCGTACCCATACTGTATCCAGAGCAACTGTTACTATAACAATGTGTACACGCAGATATTACCATAACAGCATCGCTCGCTGCTCTGCATGTGTTGCCACTACCCCACGGTTAGTATTCATTACCAATCCTGCACACTGCACAGTCCTGTGCGGCATCGTTACCGGTACCGGGACCATGACTGAAGACGAACTATAATTAGAAACGGGGATGAAGGACATGTCTATCACAAGTTGAAATCCATTTTAAATGTTAGGTAGGGCCTACGGGTCACTGTATTTTACCATGGTTTTACCGACTATTTAAAGTAAAATAAGGTATATAATTATAACAACCAATACAGAATGTCTGCTTCTTCATAAACGAATTGTGTTTATTCGAACATTTGCTTGACAATACATTTGAAAACTTTTAACTCTACACTACAATAACGCTTATTTTTTTTAAATTTATCTTTTTGTTCCCAGTATTGTTAAATATCGATTGTAATAATAATAATATGTCGCTCTTAAATATCGATTGTAAAAGAAATTCCAATACAATATATTATGTTTCGTTGAAGTCAATGTTTAAAATGACTTAAATAGGCCTACAAATGCTTTCAACATAAAACCAAGAATTTGTTGCTGTTATTTTGGTCTAATTTAATCTGTTTTCATAGCCGTGGAAGGCATACTGAAAGTGGTCCGGCCATTCGAGGGTTGGGGTGGGGCTGAAGAGGTTTGAAGACTTACTTCCTCTGATAATTTTGTTTCTGTTGTAGATTCTTGAAAATGCGCTCTCCTATCTTTCCAACAATCAAATATATTTTCTTAGATCCATCTTATTAAATTAATTTTATTCTTTAGGCTTTTTAAAATTTACATATATTTTAGTGCAATTTTATACAAGTGTAAATTATGAAATTCAATATATTATACCGTATAATATTGTATACGCTGTCTCTTATACACATCTAGATGTGTATAAGAGACAGATATATATATATTCGTTTATTTTTTTAGATTATAAACTGCTGTATGCCTATGTACGTCATTGTGAACATTGACTTGAACGAAACATGATATGATATTGTACTGGATTTTCTTTTAAAATCGATATTGACCAATACTGTGAAATAAAAAAAAATCAATCAATTAAACGATATTGACCAATACTGTGAAATAAAAAAAAAATCAATCAATTAAAAAAAAAAAAAAAATCAACGTTTTTGTATGTGTCTATTTAAAAGTTTTCAAATATATTTTCACCAAGATGCTAAAGTCAATCAGATGTTTGAATTATTTTATTATCTTAATAAGTGAACTACTGTACATGGCTTTTGCATAACTTTTTTTAAGGTTGAAATTTCGAGTGCGATGATATTCTTTTGCTATAGCAAAATTTCAAACCAGATGGTGGATATATTCATTCTACATTAATAATTGTTTTGCATTTGACAGAACAATACATTAATTACGCTTTCTTCGCTTACGACCCCACCCTCTATTTTTCACCATTTTAAGGCGGTTAGTGGTGATTGTTTGGTTTATTTGTTCAAACACATTAAAAAACATACGGTAGGCCTACATATTTAAAAAAATGAAGCTTTGAATCCGCCCCCTGGAACCCCACCTGTGCGATAGTAGAAGTATGTATCAGAATTTGTTGGCGCTTCATTTTGACGATATAATGGTGATGTGATGATGATGAATTGTACTATTTGAAAGTGTCATTACCGGCCATCTAGAGGTATTATTTCATCAAATTTTCGCACCTCAGCCCCGATCATGGTGGGGCTGAGGTGGTTGTGGACTGACGGCTTTGAAATATGTAAAGGAAATACATCAAAGACAATGCTTTTAAGTTTTATCTTCTATGATACGTCACACATAATTATTATATCTCTGTGGCTGCCGAAAATCACTGATAAAAGATCATGAGAAATTTTTGGCGCTTCATATTGACTATATAATGGTGATTTGATAATGATGAATTTTAATATATAAAAGTGTCATTTCAGGCCATCCTAATGCACTGTTTCGTCAATTTTTTGCGTCTCACTCCCAACCATGGTGGGTGTGGACTCCCACATTCCAATACAGATCTGCGCCCGTGCACGCACCCCCTCCTGCATTCACCCCAGCTCTGTGGCTGTCACCACGGTTATTTCATTACCTGTGCGGTGCACAGTTGACACTGTATTTTACCGGTATCAGAACCATGACTGAGACCAAAAATTAGAAACAAGGATAGTGGAAATGTCCATCACAAGTTATAATTCACTGTGCACGTTAGGTTATCGATGTTTTTGCCGCCTACTGTACCATTTAAACAATGGCGGCGCCCGCGTCTGAAATCTGGAGGTGGTGTTCGGGGGAGGGGAGCTGGAGGGTGTCAAGGTACACTTTTCTTTTGGAGGTTGGGAGCTAAGTTCTCAATGAGAGTGTAAAGTGGGCGTGGTCGAATGTCAATTATAGTGTTTCGAAAGTGGTACGGGGGAGGGAGCAGAGCCCCCGAAAATATGACAATTTAGGGGTTTCAGAAGGCTTAATTAAATCTATTTTACAGAATTGTGATTTTTCTTCTTTTCCGGGGTGGGAGGAAAGAAAATTTTCTTTCCCAAGAAAATTTTCTTCCCCCACCCCCAGTGCCGCCACTGCATTGAAAATGTTTGCAGATTAAAAAGTCACGCTCGAGAATAGATACAAATCAGTTCATATCACCATATTTCCGTGGCAGTTCCATCATTTAATCATTGAGCCATCACCTTCGCCCCTCCCCCTCTCCCTTTTAAACCCATTCCAAGACTCTTAGATACGTCACTGGTTACCATGGTCATTTTTGGATAAGCTTTACAAAAAAACAAAAACAAAAAACAAAAGTGAACATTTGCCAATGCTTTTAGAAAGTTAACACCACTGGACCGACGGGATTTCATGTCGTTTCGAGCATTTGTTTACTCTGGGGAAACACTGTCATCTACCGGTTTGTTTAGATCAAAGTGAATGACGTAATTCCGTCGATTGCTTTATTGCTTTGACGACAAAAACCCCGAACAAACGATAAAGGTTATCATGTCGAGTTATAGGCCTATTGTAATATCTCTAATAGCCAGCTGACAGGATTGAACCAGATCCGAGACGATGACACGCTAATCTGACTTCCAATTATAGCACTGTAACTGTTTGTTGGGAAACTTCCTTTTGAAATTTCATGACTCCGCAGACGAATGACTTTCCGTGTGTGGTAGGCCTGGTTACGCGTGCTGGTAAGTGAGATAGTGTAGTGAGTTGAGTAATTCATGGAGGAATCATTATTTTCAATAGTATTACCAGTACAATATTATTAGTAATTTGTGAGTATTGTCTTTTGTCTAATATTAGGGCCCTACGCAGTCTACGCAGATTTTTCTTCACTCAAGTCCGCTCTTCCATTTGCAGTGATGTTTTGACTAACATTGACGGCACTAAAATACATTAGAAAGTAGGCACAATGATATATACCGTACCGTTGTGAATTGTTCATTAACAACAAGGTCTGGGCGGATGCCGGATTTGGCAGTAGGGGGTGCGTGCAAAACTTTGAAGAAATAGAACTTGTAGATGGCCGGAAATGACACATTTATAATAGTAAAATTCATCATCATCACATCACTATATAATTATATAGTCAAAATGAAGCCCCAATAAACATGATCTTTTTTTTTTTTTATCGGCGGTTTTCGGCAACCATAGAGATCTTAGTATTATGTGTGATGAACCATAGAAAATATAACTTAAAAAAACATCTCTTGGATGTATTTACTTTACCTACTTCAAAGCAGTGAGTCCACAACCTGTCCCACCATGGTTTGGGCTGAGGTGGGTGAGAAAATTTGAGGAAATATAGTACCTTTAGATGGCCGGAAATAACACATTTATATAGTAAAATTTATCCTCATCACACCATCATGTCTAGATGAAGCGCCAGCAAATTTCATGATTTTCTAATCAGGCTCTAAATAGTATGAGTGATGTACCATAGAAAAAAAATGAAGAAACAATTTCTTTGATGTATTTAATTTATTTGACCTACCTCAAAGCTGTGTGCATGGGAACTTTCACCTCAGCCCCACCATGGTTTGGGGCTGAGGTGAGAAAAGTTAAAGAAATAGTACCTCTAGGTGGCCGGAAAAGACACAAAATTCTTCATCATCACCAACATTAGGCCTATATAGTCAAAATGAAGCGCCAACAAATTCTCATGATCTTTCATTAGCTTTTTTCGGCAACCACAGAGATCTAATGTGTGATAAGGTACCATAGAAAATACAACTTAAAAACATGTCTTTGATGTATTTACTTTACCTACTTTAACCACAGCCCCACCACAGTTGTGGCTAAGGTGGTAAAATTTGGGGAAATTGTACCTCTAGATTGCCGGATATGACACTTTTATAAGTAAAATTCATTATTATCGATCTAATTAATCCAGTGATGTACCATAGAAAATAAAACTTTTTAATTGTCTTTGATATTTACTTTATACCTACTTCATGTGCCGAAAACCAATTTTACCTTTGCATACTTTTTCTCAAATTATAATAAAGGCACGCGCACTCGAATCGTGTATGATAGGTAATTCAGATGTTTGTGGGCAGAGTACCGGTATCTTGCTATAAAACAAGATGTACTCTAGCTGCAGGCCTATCGCGCTCTTTCGTTAAAACCTGAGTCATTTATGCAGTTTATTTCAACAATTTTCGGGTATAATTTTCTTTATTCCCGGAAAGTGAGGGAGACCAACTCTTTCCCTTAAAATATGTGGGGGGGGGGAGGGGCGTGGCGTGTTCCCCTTCCCCAGTGATCTGCGTCCATGTGTCCGTGAAGAGTCCACATCACCTGAGGGCTGAGGTGATACATTTCAGAGCTGCTTTATTGATAAGCACAGCGGGTGATTCAAATGTTGTCACTATTTCTCGAAATTGCTGTTTTGATACAATACGTACTGTTTTAGTCATCGTATTCTCTTGGGCTCTGTAAAGGAAAATCATTTCTATCCTGTTATTGTACTTCCAACTGTATTTTTTTTACTTCTTATTGTCGGATAATCTACATGTTATTTTTACATACTGTAGGCCTACTATGTATTTCACTGTAAGAGGATAATTCAATTGTTGTTACTGTTTCCTCCAAGTTGCTGTTTTGATTGAATATACTGTTTTGTCATTGTATTCTCTATGGGCTCTGTAGGCCTATAATAATAATAATAATAATTTGCAATTTGTATAGCGCCTCTCGTTCTTGTTCTTATGTCCACAACATAATGATAATAAATAACAATAATGATAATGATGATGATGATGATGATGATGATGATGATGATAATAATAATAATAATAATAATAATAATAATAATAATAATAATAATAATAATAATAATAATAAAATAATAGTTCATTAAGCGCAAGTAAGCAAGCTCTCAATGCGCTGTACACAAAAAAAAAAAAAAAAAACAGAATAAGGATGTCATGTTAAATTAATGAAAAACTTGATGAAACTTGATGATAACGATAATAATTATAATAATACTCTTTATTTCGAATACAAATGTCCACACGGATATGTATTAGAAGTAGAATTAGCAGAAAATAAGAACTATTTTCCATAGGCCTATTTCATCCGAAGCTACGTTACCTACAATGCGACCATACCAAGGTTACCTATGAATGCCCCGAGGTAGCCCACTGTTCTGTTTTGGATCCGAATGTGGTTTTTGAAGGCCATTAACACATTTTCTACACCTGTTAGAAAACCCCTTCCAGCAGAAATAGATAAACCTCATCAATATCGGCGCCATTTTTCTAAAGTGACCGCAATCCGCAATCAGTGGTGGAAATAAGCTGTTGAAAACTTAATATTAAGATTCATTCCACTGCCCATCATTTAGAAAAAAACAATCCGAAGACTCGCATATAGATAAGGTTAGTAATACAATTGAACTAGACCTACTGTATAATTAAATCTTAATGATATGCCTATTATTTCTTGGAGCAATAGGCCTAAATGCTAATAAAAACACTAAACGGTTCGAATAATTTGCAAATTGGATCAGTGACCTCGCTTGACTCTGACTCTTGACTTTTCCCCCTTTTGAACGCTCAATCTTGGAATGTCTGTCGAATCCAAATATGTAATGAACTCTTTTCAACTAAAGGGATGTGGTGAAATCTAAGATTACGTCGAGAAATACAAGATTTAATTCAAAGTTTGTGAATCCATGCCTACTCATCCCTCTTAGTGGTCACTGAAAATTTGGTCAGCAAAAATATTACACTCACTCGACATATCACAACATATACCGGTAACACATCTAAATAGAGCCTTGTCATTTGATTGGTGATTTCGTATCACGAGACATCGGTTATTTACACCATTTCGTCTCGCTCATCAAATTTAGTTCCATTCGTGCATTTTTGTTCCATTCGTTTTGTCCCATTGCACGCCTCCAATTAATACTGTACAATGTTTTCATTGGTTGAAAGAATATGAACTGTACGTTCCATTCAGAAGAAGGGTAAACCTAACTTTTTTCCTATAAAATATCAAACGACACTTATCTATTTATTTTATTTATTTATTTATTTATTTATTTATTTATTTATTTATTTATTTATTTATTTATTTATTTATTTTTATTATTATTATTATTATTATTATTATTATTATTATTTAAGTGTGTTATAAAGCGAATAATGTAGCTCTGCCTCGTTGAATGAAACATTTTATCTTTCAACTCATGAACACATTCTTCCAATTGAACTCATTCATTATATTGTATATTAAATCATTTCCCCATCAGCATCCACTCACTTTTCTGATATCTCAACCACCATACCTCCTATATGTCCATACCACTAGATACGCCAGTGTTTTTCGTTCATTAATAGAAGTTTTGTTCTTTCCATCTATGAAACAGGTGTTCATAGGGTTATAGGCGTTGATAACGATGTTGTCAGTTTTCAAGTACAAGAACTGAAGATAAAGAAGAAAGTTATTTTAAGTATTCAGCAGGGCACGTTACAGCGTTGCATCATGGTCGGAGAAGCAGTTTACAGCGCCTTACAGAAGGGTGAATTTTATGAATATGAGTTTGATAGATGTTTGGATAATGCTTCTGATGTTGAGGAAGACAACGCACCTGATGAAATACCGGTACTCTTCGGGAAGAGTCGTGGTCATGAAATGAATATGTCGAGGGATTCGTTTGTTGAGCTACATGGTGGCCAGGTGACGGTGGTATGCAAGTCAGAAACAAAACTAGAAAAGAGTTTAGCGGATCCTAGGCCTATACCAAACGATAGGTACGTTTCCCTTGCGATTTGTTTGTTTTTTTGTTTTTTTTTTAATTAATAAAATATAGTAATATACAGATTGCGTAGGCATACGGTTGGCATTTCTCAGTGATTTGATGATGCACGCGCCTGGATTGGATCAGCAACTACAGGGGCCTATTCAATCCAGGGTTGGCGCAAGTGGGGATTCCCTCTTCCACTGGTGAAACTTTCCCCACCCCACAAAGCAATTTTGGAGAGAAAAGAAATTATATGTATTAACTCTAGTCGATTAAATAAGGCTTTTACACTCCTAAATATAAATTATCATAGTTTCTGGGGCCTATCCCCCTGGATTACTTCTGAGTTGAACGTCGCCCGGTTATGCCCACTTACCGTTTCGTCGGAGATATCGGACTCCCCGTCCTGGTTGCCAGACTAAACATGGCGCTCTGATTCAATCAATTGATTCATTAGTCAATATCGATTTATATGATATAGATAAAGATAACTTTCACCAAACCTGTCGAAAGCTATGGTAATTTATTTGAAAGGCCTATGCCTATGTAATCAATTTTAGAGTCTACGGTTAAAATATTTTTTAATGGTTTTCTCCGCCACCCTCTGCTTGGCCCCATGAGACCATCCGACCAAAAAGGGCATTATATATGGCTAATCTCTAATAATAATCCGAAATAGAATTTAGATATCATTTGTATTAGCCTACTGATGATAATTTCTGTTATCATTTATATAGATACTACTTAGCTAAATGGATTCTCTTGCTTCACGGGGTCGGAACACTTTTACCATGGAATATGTTCTGTACAGCTGAGGCGGTAAGTAGTCAAACCAAGAAATGAAGACAGTACTGCAAAATAATAGTAATTTTTCTGCTCCAACAAATACTCAAAGATAGTAGTTAATAATCATACGAGTATTTGTTAGGCCTCCTGTTAAACAGTAATACAGTAAATGATTAACTTTGATGTGGGTTACGGTATGATTCTTTCAGCTATCAGATAAGAGCCAACTGGAGGGTCAATTAAACTTGATGGCGGAAAACGTATAGGCCTATAACCAATTTTACAGTAAACGTATTATTGTTATATAATTAAATAATTATGGAATTGAAATGCAGGCAGTCTTAGGATGCTTCCTTTCCAATCCCAACGGCAATTTTTTTTGAAAAAAAACCCAGATAAACACCCTATAGGCCCTATGTGTGGACCCTTACCATCTTTGGATAGAAAACCTCTTGTTGCTCTGCCCGACACCGAACACCTGTATCGAAAACATAGCATCAAAACTGAGCATAATGCAGTACCGTATTAAGCCAATGTTATGAAGGTTTTTTTTTTTTTTTTTTTTTTGCAAAAGAAACACGACATTTTTCCACCATTTTACTTGCGGCCCTCAAATGAGTATAAAATCAAAACTCCAGTTTGACCCTCGGCTCTGCGACCTATGTCTACGCCTGTTGTATACTACTGTACATTCAGAACCTTCCTTTGATAAAAATGAACGCAACATATTATTCGTAGTGGAGCAACTATAATAATAATAAAAAAAGTGTATGAAATTCGATGCATGTATGCAAAGCATAAATTTAAAAACTGATTAGGGCCTATTCCAATGGTTTCTTGAATGGCAGGAAGATCACAGCGGCTACCTGCAATCATTGTTAGTTTGTAGGGTTCGATAGACTACCATACCACCCAAAACAGCATCTGATTTTCACAGATAGGCCTATTTTAATTAAGGTTAGGCTACAGGGTTCGTGCACATCCAATAGTAAACGTATTAATCTGGGGTATTGCAATTAAATTACAGTAATCTGTTAATTAATAGGTTCATGATCTTATCTGTTTTGGATAAGAAAACAATTAACAAAATTATTAGTAGATAAAACAAGATGTATCATGAACACAAACAATAGCGAACATGGTTGCTTTGGTTGACCTGATCACGAATAACGCGATTGTGGACAATATTGTTTTAATGTCACGAACACAAATCGTGACGAACATGGTGGTATACCTGATCATTTGCAATGCGTAGTAACGCAACGATTGTGTAGACCTTGTTACGATGTGAAAACACAATTGTAGATCATAGACGTAGATAAACGGAAGACTGACTGAACACTCAACCAGGCTAAATATAGACGTGGTAATGGACTGCAAATGTAGTAAAATTACAGGGCGGAGGATGTGAACTATTATTCTTTATCTTTCAACAGGAAGTGCAGACAGACTTGCCTGATTACGCAATAATCCATTGTTATCTTATTAGGTGGACGAGTCTTCTCATAGTTTTAGTAGCGCATTTCTATGTCAAAGGTGAAACCATAGAAATGCAGACAAAATGTCTGATTACGCAATAATCGATTGTTATGTTATAAGGTGAACGAGCCTTGTAGTTTTAGTAGCGTATGTCAATGTTAAAGGTGAAACCACGAAGTGCAGCCAAACCTGACTGATTAAGCAATAATTTATTACATAAGGCCTATTAGGTGTAAACGCCTGTTTGTAGTTTTTGTAGCGCATGCCTATGCCAAAGGTGAAACACATAGACACACTGAAAAAGAAAAGGGTAAAGTAAACTTTAAATAAAGAAATAATTAATGGAAAAGTATAGTCAATTTAAGGAAGGCAGGAAAGAAAGAAAGAAAAGTAGAGAATAGAATGAACGGAATAATCTTAAATGGAAAGAGATGAAAAAAATATTAATGATGAAAAATTAAAATATAACAATAAAATATTTTATTGGTATAATTACATTTAAATTAAAATAAAACAAATTACAAAAGTACTATAATAAATACAAAATAAATTGTAAAGACCTTTTAAAATAATTTGAACTAATAAATAATTATATTTTACATTTGATAGACAAATCTAAATATTTAAAAATTATAAACTGTATTTTTTTAATTGATTTTTTAAGTGTATTGTACAAAACTTTTAAATTATAAATTTTTAAATATAAAGTTGAATACCCTTGAAATCTCTTATACACATCTTATATATATATATATATATATACACGGAACACATAATAGGGCCATTGTTAGCGAGTATAAGACATTAAACGGCGTAGTCGTAATAAAATTGTATAATAGAGATATTGTAGTAGACTTCCAAAAGACCTAGTGTGATGTGATGTAGACCTCGTCCTAACTGCAGATAATCTGTTTTTTTCGTTACAGTATTTCACTGAACATAAATTTGGCGATGTAAGCGATGAATCGGAATACAAAGAAAAGTTCTTGAGTTACCTGGGTATTGCTGCGTTCTCACCTACCTTAGTCTTCATGATCATTTCACTCTTTACACAACACCGGTACGTATGCGTTTAACGTATGTCCCCATGGTACCAGCTACGTAATGGCTGATAAGATGTGAATGTCGATGTTTGTGTGAGTGTGTGTGTGGGGGGGGGGGGGGTGGGGGGGCGGGGGGGGTGTAAAATATCTTTAAGCACCGGGCCGTTGAGCAAAATCTGAAATTCTGCGAAGAAAAAAAAAAAATTAAAGAAGAATCACGACGGTTATGGATCACCATCATAATGATCATTCTTATCATCATCGTCGTCATCGTTATCACCACCACCACCACCACCACCATCATCATCATCATCATCATCATCGTCACCACCATCACCACCACTAATGGTTATCATCGTCATAACCACCACCATCATCGCTATATATCAACTGCATCATCATGTCATCATTATTATCGTCATCCTCATCATCATCATTACCGTCATCGTCATCATAGTCACCACCACCACCACTAGTCAGCATCATCAATATTATCACCATACACACCAACATCATCAACATCATCATCATTATCATCATCATCAATATCATCGTTGTCATGTACGTACATCTCTTGTCACTGTATGTGATGTTTTAACTCATTATATTCGCCTTCTTTTACTTTTAGGGTCTCCCATTGGAGGGCACCAGTTTGTCTAGTATTTTTACTGCTCCTCTCCTTGGAAACCACAGTACTAGCCATCATCGATACATCTGCATGTGAGTTTGCGCGATTGTACCATGGAGTCATAATTATAGATCCAAGCTTGTACTGTATTGTTTTATTATCGTTATGTATGGAAAGTTGAAGATTGTATAATGATCGGGACTTAGGCATGTGGCGGCAGCTATTTCTTCCACAACAAAGAGGTACGGGTATTAACGTGTTGATGAATGAGAGATAGTTCGGAAAGAAGGATGGCAACACACAACTCTTGTGGGAGCAAGCAGAAGCATGTGTGGTACTCTGGAATTTAGTTACTAGTATTAATATTTAAAGCATTTTTTTAGCATGAATTAGTCCAGGGGCTCCGAAAATTCCCCTACGTCCCCCTGCTTTATACCTGTCATTAATTTTTTCAGTTACCCATATGTATAAGCTTCAACAAACACTAACCAATAGGAAATGCTTAACAAGCGTGTTACAATTTTGTTCAAAATAATCAAACAAGATTGTGTAACAATAATTTAATTTATTTCGGTTTCAGGGCCTAAGCAATTCTTCATTATAACTATGGCGACGATTGTTGTGATCAATGGTAAGTCGAAGCCGAATGAAGCATTGAAATAAGTAGAAAATTTTAATGTAATTGTAGGACTATAATTATACTAATTATTAAAAGCCAATCGTTACTTCATCTCGACCTCCAATGCAATTTCTCTATCTCACTGTGCACTAATTTACCGATAGTGCATCTGATCGAAGGGAATTTTTGGTTTAAGTTATAGGCCTATTTACAATCTACCGTTACTTGCGCCGCCTCCTCGACTCGAGTATGGCAAGCCATTTTTAATATTATTATACATGAATTGCGCTTAAGTGGAATAATTCAACTTAAGTGAGAATTATATTTGACAAGTACAATATGTTGTAATTCTACTGAAGTAAAATAGGCCTACTATTACGCTTAGAAGTTTTGTTTAATGTTTCTAAAAAATTAACTTTTGTGGTTGTGTTTTCTTGCTTATTGTATTGTATTTTTATAAGTGTACTTTTTTTGTTCAACCCTGTAAATGGTGACTTTGGTCACTGTAGGGCGTAAATCAAATAAAATAGAAAATAAATAAAATGATAACATGCAATTAAACTTAATTCAAGCTTAATTCAGACGTAGACTTAAATGGTAAAACGACGACAATATTCAACTTATATTTTAAGCGAATGTGATTGATTGTATTGATTTTTGGTAACTTATTTTCACCATGAATAATTTTTATTAGCTTATAAAAACAAAGTGAAATTGTTTCACAGCTTTTTTTGGAAATTAGTACACTTAGAATATGGTAATGAGTTTTTCTTGCAGTATCGCTTTAGCGTGCACTAATTCGCCAATTTATACTGTAGATTTAACTAACTGTATAATCTTGTTGTACAATAACAGGAGCATGCGCAGTGTACCAGTCAGATATGTTTGGTTTTGCAGCAAAATTTCCACCCTCTTATATGCAATTTCACGTTACTGGACAGGTATTGTACACGAATCTTATTCAACCTTTCTGTGTTAACTTAAGTAAACGTGACAATATATAGCACTAAAATTACCTATACTTTGAAGTCGACTCAAATTAATTGGCTGTTATAAGTTCGCGAAAATATTAATTTCACTGCCAATTAACACTAATGCTGTTTTTTTTTTCCATAGTATAATAAATGTCGGTAACATGTTGTCTTATCCTAATGTTTATTGGGTTTTCTATGTTATTGAGAATAGACAGTAGGCCTACATATTTATAACTCGAACAGGTTTTTCCTGAAAAGATAGAAATGTGTAGCACCCGCTATGGTCTGCTTTAAGTATCCAGAATTCAGAAAGAAATGATATCTCAGCAGTTCATTAAAAAATAATCTTAGTTTATAAGTACAATAACATCTAAATAAACCAAAATCAAATCAAAAACAGGAAATTATTACAATAGTTATTTTGATGATAATAGTAATAACCTAAATTGAACCTTTGCAGAGCGGTTCAAGCGGCAAAATCTCGAAATTATTGGTTAATTGTTGATCTAAGATTATTATGAACTAATAAGCCTAAAATTCGAGTTTGACTGAAAACTGAAATCAAAAGCTTAATCTATTTAGATTTTGAAATCATTCATATTTTTTGAAATTTTAAAGGGCGTTGGAGGATTTCTAAGTGCAATTCTAAACATAATGTCATTGGCAGGTACGTTTATATTCTTATTTTTTAAATTTTTAGTTTAGGCTTTAGTGACAATAAATAAATATTAATTCATTTAATAGAGAAGTTCTATAAACAAAAAACACTAATTTATATAGACTGGCAGACTGGCATAAACTTGTACATATAATATAAACTAAATGCAAAGGAGTGAATTTCACTGTAAAAAGAGTTCCCAAATCCTTGTAGTCTATTTCTCATTCCGATGTTTTTCATTCGTAGAATCGTACACTTAGATTAAAGAAAAATTGTCTCTGTTTTTTTTTTCTTTATTAATTTAAATTTAATTGAGTGAGCCTTCAAGGCTCCTCATGTACACGTTTGTGCACGAAATGACCAAGGATGTATTATATGACCAATGACTTTTATGTCTATAAAATTAATTTAGAGAATGTGCCTATACCGTGCGCAACTTTTCGTGTTGGTAGTCGTGAGAGTGTGCCCGGCTTACATTGATTACCAACCAAATCAAGGGCCTACATAAAACACTATAGGGATTCCATTTTCAATTTGTTTACTACTATTATACATTATGCAATAAATAGAATGCTGAATATGGTACTGCTCAGAAAAACAAATTTCATATGCTGTTATATTACTGTATATAATGAATAAATTAATTTTCAATCGTGATAATTAGTACGATAATCCAGCTGTCACAAGACAAGTACAGCGTTGTGTTTGTCGCCAATCAATAGAAAATTCAAAATTAGTGAGTGGGAAAATAATCGAGCTCTCCTTTCACCCACTTCTGGATTCGCCACTCATGGGTACACATTTTTTCCGTCTTCTCATGGTTGGGGTGATGTAAGAACATTTGTGATTATGGCACCTTTAGATGGCCAGAAATTGCACTCTTAGACCAAGACTTAAAATTTGAATATATTTCCTTCAATTTTGAACAATTAGGGGGGAGCCGGCCCTTCCCCTCCCCCATTTTAATCCGCCACTGAAGATAAAAGCCGCCAAGCGATCGTTCTAATAGCTACGGTCAATATGCTATACTATTTTCGAGTATAAGCTAATTTTGATTTTTTAAAAATTTAATTGATAATTCTAACATCAATATTGAATGTTTATTTTTATTTCAGTATCCGATTCTTTACGAACTGCTGCCATTTTGTTTTTCTCCTGTTCGTTAGTCGTAATTATGATGTGCCTTGTGTCATATTTTGTACTCCTAAAACTCGTAAGTTGAATTTAAAAGTTGAATCGAAAAAAATGCAAGTAATGACAGCAGATAATATGCACACAATAAACCCACAGTGCTCAACAGACAACATGCTTACTCGGCCTGTAAATACACGCCCCCTCCCACTCCTCTCAAGCACACCTTGAGACGATTTTATTGTGGAAGGCGCACTACAAATATCCCACCATTACCATTATCATTACACGAAATCTCACATGCACCTACATACCCCACCCAATGCACCCTATTGTAAACATGCCCACAATCACTATTTCGTTTTATTGGCAAGCTCCAAATGAAAAATGTAACCACAATTTTTTTATTGGGCGAGGCCTTTAATTTGGTCCAATATTATGTTGAAAATTATTATCATTACCATTCATCATCAACATCACCGTCACCATCGTCGTCATCATCGTCGTCGTCATCATCATCGTCATCATCATCGTCATCACCACCATCGTTGTCATCATCATCATCATCACCATCACAGTCACCATTTTTATTCATTCATTCATTCATTCATTCATTCATTCATTCATTCGGTCGTTCGTTCTTTCGTTCATTCATTCATTCAATTTAATTTGTTTTTATTTATTTGTTATTTATTTATTTATTTAAAGATTTATTTATTTATTTATTTATTTTAAAAACATATTTAGGCAGGATAACATATACAGACGAGATCTTAACGCTGTTTTACAATATGGTCCTACTATAATACTGTACAATAAAGAACAAACAAGGAGGCAACCAAAACAACAGAATGTAAAATACAAATAGTAAAAACTTCGGTGAAAAACCATCTCCCGCCGGACACCAACCGGTATTTCTGATCATTGACCATAATCGTCATCGACATCATTATCATCTTTATTATTATTGTTTTGGCGTATAATTATAATGTACCTATTTTATCATGCCTAATTATGTATACTTTATCCTTATGTTGCAGCCAATCACTATTTATTACCACAGTAATGTAAATCAGGAATGTACTACGGCCATTTCGTACAAGAAAGTAGATGAACCTTGTGAGAAGCCGTCGCCGCCATATTTACTCATTGCAAAAGAGGTATAGAAAAATAAATTACAGACCTATTAATACAAGGCCCCATCGAGGCAACCCCAATATAAGTAAACTTGTCACGTTCATGTTTATCCTAAATTGTTACATTTATATTAATACTTTCTTTCTTTATGTAGATTAAGCTTCAACTTTTCAATGTTTGGTCAACGTTTTTCGTAACCCTCGCCCTCTTTCCGTCCGTATTAGCATTCGTTGAATCCTCGGCTCCGAAGCCACATTCACAATTACGAGGTAATTTCACGTCATTTTATTTTAATGCGCGCTGCATATTCGAATGACAGTGCACACTCTGGTTTTGTGTTGAATCGAGGATAAAAGATAAAATACGTGACAGCAAGTGGCTCCAGAAATTTGCGACTTAGGGGTCCAAACCCAGAGGCTGTCTCTAGGGCCTCGATCATAGAATCCCGGAATTAAAATTATTTATAGGGTTCATAGGGAGAGTTTTCATGGTTTAGTAGCCTTAGCCTATGGCCCAAATTTGTGCTTTTCAAAATTCAAGATTTAATTATTTAATGCACCTTCGCCATAGCTTCAGGCGGGGATGGGGATTTCCCTATTTGACACCCCCTCCCCCTCTCTACCCTCCACTGGCGCCACTACTGCGTGACAGCAATCGTAACATAAACGCTTCAAATAGCCTTTTTTCAAGATTTTTATAATATGAATATGCCCTTTTCTATTTGAATAATAAATTTGTTCCTTTTCATCGATTTTATAGAAACATATTTTACTCCCGTTTGTTGTTTCCTGTTATTTGCTACGGGTGACGCATGTGGCAGTTTTCTCTCAGGGCTTACTCAGAAAGTATGTATTATTATCGTAATGTCTTGTATTTAAATAGGCCTAGGTATGTCTAATGTCTTATAAAAAAAAACAAGACAATAGTAATTTTCAACAAGGATTTGTAAAGCGCCCATTCCACGGCAGAATGGAGATGGTGCGAATAACAATAGAATAAGCATGGAATTGTAACTTAATTACATGAATAATAATGCAAAATATTATAAAATGTAATTGTGTGAATACCTAACGTCATGTGATATAAATCCACCAATGAAATGGACTATATGTAGGTCCGTTATAAAGCTTTATGACATAGTACAAAAATTAAAACAAAATCACAAATTATTTTATTTCTGTCAACAGCCAGGACCTAGATATAGCTGGATATTTTGTATTGCAAGGATAATATTGTTTCCACTCATCCTGTTCTGCAACTACCGGCCTGAAACACGTACCTTACCCGTGTTCTTTACCAACGATATGTTTTTCATTGTCTTCAATGTTTGCATTTCACTATCACACGGATACCTCAAGTCAATCGTTATGATGCACGGACCCAGGTATTGTACGATCCTGTTGTCTATAACTTGATAAAGAATAGGCGGGCACACACTGCGCCGAGTGTCGACGTTTAATGATCCGCTCAGCCTGTCACCCACAATCGGCAGACGGCGGCGTCTCGTCTCGTCGTCCAACGCTCATAGAAGGGCAGAGATGGAATCGTCGGCCGACGGTCGTACGGCACAGGGTGTGCCCGGTTTTAGGCCTATGAATAGCTGACCAGTCTTTTTAAGATTATGCGCCAGTGCCAAATTCAGGGAGTGACGAAATGGACAACAACTAACTGTCCACCCCTCCCTCCCCATCCCAACAACCGTAAAGTCGTTTTAATAAGAGAACAAGTTCTAGGGAGTTACGCCTCCTGAACTCCCATAAGAAAAGGAAACAACAGTGGCGTATTTAGTCTTGAAATGGGGGTGCACGAAGGTGGAGTGGGTATGGAGGGGGATCGATGGTCAGTTGGAGGGAGGCTTATTCGCAAATAAGGTGATTTTAGGTAAATTTTAACTACTTAACCGTGATTTTTTGGGGGCGACTGGGGTGGGGGGGGGGGTAGTAATTTTTAGAGCAGCGTGCGCCCCCCACGCCTACACACCCCTAGATACGCCACTGGGAAACACCCAAAATATCCCCTGACCAATTTAGTCCTCGGTTGTAGTTACGTGTGACTCCACAGAAACAACCTGGAACTGCCTCATGATGTGTGGTACACAATGAAAAAGGTTATATTGTATCTATAACCTATATAACTTTTAGCTACACAAGCAGGGCATAAGAACAATGAGTTATCTTTTCTTCAATTTTGCCTCCATAGGTGTGTGACCGATCCGAAGCACAGTAGTACGGCTGCAGCTATGATGGCGCTGTTTATGGTTATTGGTATCTACATGGGTGTTCAAACTTCTCTAATTTTCCCTTGGATTTCCAGTTTATCGTGACGTCATTAAGCCATTAATAGGTCTAAATATTTGAATAACAACGTCAAGCCCTACATTATGGAGACTCAATACTTTGATCAATATTACTAATACCGCCTGAATTGAAAAAAAAATAAATAAATAGAACCATAACACTTAATATATTTTTTGTTTTTACAATTTTTAAATTGTGTATTTATGCATGTTTGTTTTATATGTCCAGCTTTTCACTATAAGCCAGAATTGGCTGGTTTAATTTGAGAGTGTGAATAAAGAACTACTACAACCATGCTACAGGATGGTCATTGTTACGGTCATGTAAAGGCCAACTCAGACAGCGTCGGCCGACGCAGCCCGACCCGATTTATCGTCGGGGACAGTCTTAAGGGCAACTCAGACAGCGTCGGCCGACGCAGCCCGCCCCGATTTATCGTCGGGGACAGTCTTAAGCCGTCGTGAGAAATATTAAACATGTTTAATATTCTAGGACGCGACTGCTGCCCCCGACGCACACCATCGCGTCAGCGTTTAACTCACACAGACCCGACGCGACAACAAATCGCGTCGGGCTGCGTCGTACGACGCTGTCTGAGTTGGCCTTAACACTCTCGGAAATAAACTGCAGCTGTGTGTGTTCTATAGCTGTATATTGGCATATTAGTTTCAAAAGTTTATTTAGTTTTTAGAATTAGTATGCTTACTATACCATTATATTTATAATATAAATTAGCTTGTAATACATGCAATAGTATAAATACTGATATTATATATACAGGCAATATAACAATCGTTTTTTTCTACCCAACTCTAAACAGAGTAAACTTATTTTAGTTGGACCTAGTAGGCCTAAATGTTTTCAAGCTCTAGAGAATAGAACGACATTATAGGGCTATCCTTGTTCAACGCTTTAAAAAAGTATGTATATTATTGTTTTTTATACAGTATTCAAATACGTTATAAGCTTTCAAATAAAATTAGAACATCGTTAACGTGAAATTGTTTTTCTTGTGAATTACCCAGCTAACAATATTACGTTATAAGAACGTTGTAATTAAACGTTACAGTTTACTATATTTTGTAGAACCAAAAGTTCGTACTTGTAACCTAATTTCACATTTGAACGTTCCTGCAACGTTGTGTGAACGTTATTTTGTGATGTACCAAACCACAACGTTTGTGTTATAAGAACGTTTTGTATTTGCTTGCTAGCCAACATGGTTTCCATACAATCGCTACACGCTATCACGGACAGCTTTCGGTATGCTGATTGGTCGGTCGAATCGGCCAGCCTTCCCGATTGCGTCGGGGACTGCTATGCAGTACAAGGGTTGCAGTAAAAACAAAAGAACTGTAGCGACAGTGTAGCGATTCTATGGAAACCAGGCTTAATAGACCCACATTCTTTCTTTTCGTAGGCCTACGCATAAATTGGCTGTTTGGCAATTTAATGGTTTTGTTCTAATTCGTGTGTCATTGTAAATTAATAACGTATTTGAGCATTATTATGCAATTCAACGTTTTGGTTGAATTTTTGAGGTACTGTATATTATTTTCTTGAGGAGGACCTGGGTCAGTTGTTACAGGGGTAGGTTGTTACAGTGCTCTTTTCCCTGAAGAGGAAAAACAGAGGGAGACATTAACCGGTGTCATATTTAGCACACTGTAATATGCATCACTGCCGGCCTTAGCCTGGCGATCCGACCGCGTGACAAGAAATGCAAATAAATGTTTGATTTTATACCTCAAAAGTAATTTTTTCATGACAAACCCTTTCTGTTATAGCTATACTTCATTATAGATGGATGAAGAAAGTTTATATATTTATGTGAATTGAAGATGGCCATCTGCCTAACACTTTCATAGGCACTGAGGTAGAACTATCTGTGTTTCAATATAAAAATAGGACGGGGGGGGGGGGGGG